CTTTCTGAAAGGGACACGAATGCCTGGAAGTCATCTTGACCCCCAGCAGGAAGCAGTGGGCGCAATCAGAGCACACATGTGTGCATGTGTGTGTGTGTGTGTGTGTGTGTGTAGGGGGGTGATTGTGATCCTGACCTGGTTGGCAACCGAGCTACTCATTGCAGTGATTCACTTAACAGCTACGGCAAGAAAAGCCGTAAAATGGGGCAAAATTCACTTCACCCGTGTCTCCCTTAGCGACCTAAATCCTGGGCTCCAGGGTGGTGGTACCGTAGGTGGAGGACTCCCAGCCCATAAAATACTGACCTCTACACTCCAGGCTGAGCTGCTGAGCCTGGCCAGCAATGTTTTTTTTTTTTGCTTTTATTTTTCCACCCCCACCCCCCAAATAAACTTCTTTTGGCACCCTGATCGGTGCAGTCCTTCCACTACCGGGTGGGGGGGAACCCCAAAAAGGTCTGACTTAAATCTTCCCTGAAGAAGCCTGAGCCTAACTCGGATCCGAACTATTTAGAGGACTGCAGCAGGGGGTGGACAGATGGGAACGTCCGAATTTGGACGGACTGGGGGGGGGGGCACGTCCGCATTTGGAGAGCAGAGTCCCGCCGAGAGGCTGTAACCCTACTCTCTTATGCAGCGTCACTTGCTCCGTGCTTGGCTTGAAAGAGAATCCGTTCTAGATGAGACAGAATAAAATTGCCCTGACGCCTCTTTGGAGGATTTGGGACCTCGGCAGGCCAGCTCGTCCTGGGGGGGGGGGGAGAGAGAGGCTCTCCCCTCCAATAAAACAGGTTGGGGGGGGGAAGAGGGGGGGGGCTTCCGAGCTCAGCTGTTACTTGATTAACAGGGGCTCCAGGCAGGAGGTACCACATAACCCATAAAAGGCAGAAACTGGCTCACCCCTGCAAAGACGCCTGGGGTCTTCCTCCATTAGCTGTGAGTTTATTTATTTATTTATTTATTTATTTCTGAGACTTATATACCGCTTTAAGTGCAAGCACTCTCTAAGCGGTGTACACCAGTAAGCAATGTATATATATATATATTTTTTACATTGCCCCCAACAATCAGTTTTAATGGTTTCGCTTTAACGCCCAAAGGCTTTCATGCAGTGTTTCTCAACCTTGACAATTTTAAGGCATGTGGACTTCAACTCCCAGAATTCCACAGCCAGCATTGCTGGCTGTGGAATTCTGGGAGTTGAAGTCCACATGCCTTAAAATTGTCAAGGTTGAGAAACACTGCTTTAATGCTTTTAACCTTGTACATTGTTGTTTAGGTCACTTGGTACCGATAGCCCTCCATTTACCACAGCTCGTTTAGTGAACGAAGCTACAACGGCACTGAAAAAATGGACTTATGACCGGTTTTCACACTTACGACCGTTGCAGCCTCCCCGGGATCACGTGATCAAAATTCCGATGCTTTTTGCAACCGGTTCGTCTTTACGACGGTCACAGTGTCCCCGGAGTCACGTGATCCCTTTTTTTTTGCGACCTTCTGATAAGCAAAGTCAATGGGGAAGCCGGATTCACTTAACAACGGTGTGACCAACTTAACTGCAGGTCGTAAAATGGGGCAAAACTCACTTAACAACTTGTCTCCCTTAACGTCAGAAATTTTGGGCTGAACTGTGATTGGAAATCAAGGACGACCTGTAGTGAGACGGGCAGCACGTAAATAAAAAATAAATAAATAAAATAAAATAAAATAAAATAAAAAAGGTAAAACAAAACAAAATAAAAGACGCTGCAGGAGAATTCCAGACATATTCAGAATTACTAAAGGAGATTATTCCCAGCTTAAATGGATGCAAGACTACAGCCCAAATTTCCATGAACTTGCAGACCTTTGAACAAGCAGCCCTATCAACATTGTGGGTACCAGCCAGGTCATTTTTAATAGAATGAAATTAACAGTTTTTAGACAAATTAGACCCCCGAAAGACCCAGGCAGTCCTTGGGAGACAAATTACAAAACATTCAGAAACTTCCTTCTGTGGCTCAGATGTGGCACAACCAGCTGCAAATAGCTGACACAGAAGCCAAAATATCGGAACTGGTCAGGATTTTACAGACTCTTAAGATCCTTATCGTTTACCGCTCTCTGTCCCAGGGGTCACGTGACCCCCTTTTGTGACGTTCAGACAGGCAAAGTCAACGGGGAAGTTAATAACCGTGTGATTAAATTAACAATTGCATTGATCCTCTTAACAACTGTGGCGAGAAAGAGCGTAAAATGGGACAGAGCTCACTTAACAACAATGTCTGGCTTAGCAACAGATTTTGGCTCAATTGACTCTTAGGACAGGTGTCTGCAACCTTGAGAACTTTAAGATTTGTGGACTTCAGCTCCCAGAATTTCTCAGCCAGCTTTGCTGGCTGAGGAATTCTGGGAGTTGAAGTCCACAAGTCTTAAAGTTCTCAAGATTGCAGACACCAGGTTAGGACTACCTGTATAAGGTCCCCTTCTTTGAGCAAGGGGTTGGACTAGAAGACCTCCAAAGTCCCTCCCATCTCTAGAGTTCTACTTTCTACAGTTTACTGGCCTGGTTATAGGAGGTACACAATGCTCACGTTAAAACAATCCCAGTAACTCTGGCTCACAACACCTACAACCTCACACAGATCTGCAGAAGAGGCCAGCCCCCCCCCCCCAGTTCTGAAGCCCGCCGGATGGGAACCCATGGGCAAGCCAGCTGTGTGGCTGCTCGGGACTTTGGAACTCCCCGCCAAGAGAGGTTAGGTTTGGCACGCTTCCTCTCCATTATCCTTCCTTGGCAGGCAAACGCATTTGGATCTCTGCTCCCTGCCTTGGCAAGGGGCGCCCTGTCTTATGCCAAGCTCTTATCACGACGCTCTGAAGGTGGGTCCCATCGCTTGATGGGAAGCTGGCAGATCAAGTCAATGAAGAAATGGAAGGCAGGGCGTTTCAGCCAAAGGGCGGCACGGCTGCAGGGAAGACACAACCCACGAGAGTGCTTAAAACAGAGCTCTCCAAACTTGGCAACTTGAGGACTTCAACTCCCAGAATTCCTCAGCCAGCTCTAACCCTAACTCTAACCCAGGGCTAGGCAACCTTGGCCCTTTTATGACTCCCAGAATTCCTGAGCCAGCATGGGGGAACTATGGCCCCTTCATGACTTGTGGACTTCAACTCCCAGAATTCCTGAGCCAGCCATGCTGAGGGGAAAGGGAGAGGTTTCCAAGCTGAGCCAGGCTGGCTCAGGAATTCTGGGAGTTGAAGTCCCCCAGTCATGAAGGGGCCAAAGTTTCCCTCATGCTGGCTTAGGAATTCTGGGAGTTGAAGTGCACGAGTCATGAGGGGGCCAAAGTTCCCCCATGTTGGCTCAGGAATTCTGGGAGTTGAAGTGCACGAGTCATGAGGGGGCCAAAGTTCCCCCATGTTGGCTCAGGAATTCTGGGAGTTGAAGTCCACGAGTCATAAAGGAGCCAAGGTTGCCTACCTCTGCCCTAACCGCTGCTGTTTGGAGACCTCTTGCTTCAACATCTCAGTTCTCCAGCCTGGATCCGGCCAGGCCTTCCTGTTTCGGCCACAACGCACCAGACGTGAACCTCCAGAACCGCGACGGCCCACACAAGCGAACGGCACAGCTCAACCTGCCCCCAGGCCGGCAGACCCTCCTCTTCCTCCACAAAGTGGCCTCCCTTTGCGGTTACCCACTCTGGCTTTCTCTGCCTGCAAGGGCTTCTGCGCCAGCTGCCCAGTTCCAAAGCAACGACCCAGCCCACGTCAGTTCTTGAGGACTCAGCCTGGGCGGGGAAGTCCCCCTTCCCACACAAAGGGCAGGACGCTTCCAGGTGTTAAGAGCCGGGAAGGGGTGTCTGTCTGTCTGCCTTTCACTGGGCAGAGGATGCACAGGTGTTAAGAGCCGGGAAGGGTGTGTGTGTGGGTGTGTGTGTGTGTGTGTGTGTGTATGATCCGCACACACTTTTGCCTCTCTTTCCCACGGCCCCCCCCCCCGCCTTCCCAGAGGCTAGGTTTCCTCTTGCGTTGCACAAACAACACACCCAGACAACACACCGCACTCCAACGGCATCTGGCAGGGTTGGGAGGCCGTCGGGGTTTGTTCCCCGGAGCTTTCTGACACTTTGCAGCAGGGAAAAGGCGTCCCGGCTCCAGGGGGCTTGGGGGGAACCGCGGCGCTCCGAGCGGGCGGCGGCAACTGCAAGCGAGGACCCCGGCTGGGCGCCCCGCTGACGGACCCGGGAAGCCGGGCGGCGGGGGCAGCTGCGGCCAGGGACCCTCCAGGGACCCCCCCCCCGCCTCCGCCTCCTCCTCCTCCCGCGGCCCCGCCCCCGAGGCAGCCGAAGCCCGCAAGGCGAGTGCCAGCCGGGGGGCGGGGGGGGTCTGCCCGACCGGCGGCTCTTCCACGGGCTTGCCGCCCCTCCTGCGCCCCCCCAAAGGTCGGAGCCCCCAGACCCTCTCAGGGTGCAGCAGCCGCCCCCCCCCCCGGCATCGCCCAGCCAGGCGCCCGGAGCCCCTGAGCGCTCGCCCCCTCGCCTCGCCTGGCCGGCTCCAAGAGGGGCAGAGCGCCGCTCCCAGCAGTCCCCGCCAGCACCGGGGATTCTGGGCACTGGAGTCCGCCCATGCGGGCAGCGGAGTCTGCGTCCTGCAGGCAGCCGTTAGGCAGGGGATTGTGGGCACTGGAGTCGGCCGTGCAAGGAGGGGACTCTGGGAACTGCAGGTACTCGTGAGGCAGGGGGTTCTGGGCATGGGAGCCCACCCTGGCAGGCAGGGGGTTCTGGGCGCGGGAGTCCACCCAGGCAGGGGGTTATGGGCGTGGGAGTCCACCCAGGCAGGGGGTTATGGGCGCGGGAGTCCCCGTAGAAGCAGGGGTCCAAAAGTCCCCGCCACCCACCCCGAGAGGCTCCGGGGAGAGGCGGCCCGGGGGTCCCAGCCTGGGGGTTCCTGAAGCCGGGAGAGGACCCTCCCCGGGGCCAACGGGCCCCTCCTTCCCTCCCCCGCCCGCCGCTCACCTTCCAGCGTGGCCTCGTCCGGGTGCGAGCCGGGGGTCCCGTCTGGGCGGCCGGGCGGCGGCAGGAGGAGGCCGCAGAGCAGCCCCAGCGCGATACGGCCCCACAGCGCCATGTCGCCGGGTCACCTCCGCTCCCGCATCGGCAGGCGCGGCCCGGCCCGGCCCGGCCTGGGACGGCAGGTGGAGACGCGTCCGGTGCGGCTCCGGACAGGTGCGCCCCTCCCGGAAGCGGCGCGCCCTCCCCCGCCCGCGTGGTCCGTCCCCTCCTCCCCCCGCGGCGCCGAATGGTCTCTCCCGCCCGGGCGCCCGCGCACCAAGTCCGGGCAGGCGGCAGGGGCGGGGCCGATCCCGCCCACTCGGCCCCGCCGGCCAATCGCGACAAGGCTCGGCCGCGGAGAGAGAGCGCCCGGCCGGCAGCGGCCCCTAGCGGCAGAGGGAGGCGCGGACGCACGTGGAGACGCGTGCAGCGGAGCCCCCCCCCCCAGTCCACCGTGGGAATCTGCGGCTCCGGCTCCCGTCCCGCGGATCGCAACCGCCTCCGCGTCAAGGAGCGTTTCGACGCGTGTTGTGAGCTTCGCACGACGCGCAGACTCGCGAGCCTGTGGGCACGCAGATTGGGCCACTTGGTGATTGAATGGGCGGAACAAGAAGAGACGGGACAGACGCTTGTCTGAAATGGTGCAGGGGTAGGCAAACTTGGCTCTTTTATGACTCGTGGACTTCAACTCCCAGAATTCCTGAGCCAGGAAGTTGGGAGTTGAAGTCCACGAGTCATAAAAGAACCCAGGTTGCCTACCCCTAGATAGGGTCTCCTGCCTGAGAAGGGGATTGGACTAGATGACCTCTAAGGTCCCTTCCGTTATTCTGCTATTATTATTACCGTGCTCCCCTCCCCACCAAGTCTTCTTTCCTAAAATAAACCGTATTTCCCACTATTAAACCCCGCACCCTGGGGGGGGGAGGCGTGTCCCCCACTCCGGCAACTTTAAGACTTGTGGAGTTCAACCGTCGGGCATCCGTACACGTGTCGCTGGAAAAACCCCGGGACAAAATCGGGCTTTCGAGCCGTAGTCCGTAGGCACGGAAAGAACGCCCCCTTTCCTTCCCCTCTGTTGGGGAAAACCCCACGGAAGACCCGCCCCGCGTGGCGGTGAGAAAGCGCCTGGCTCGGAAGAAGGAAGTCCCGGAGCTGCTTTTCGGCTGCTTTCTTGCAAACGGCCCTTGGCCCCTTCCCAGCCGAGCCTCACCGGCCCGGATCTTCCCCTCGCCCCCCTCCCACCCAGCTGCAGCCGCTCCGGCCGGGCTGTCTTGCCCCGGCCGTCGGGGGCTTCTGCAGTCCGGGCGCGGCTCCCAAGGCTGCGGCGACGACAGCGGCTTGCTTGAGAAATCCAAGCTGGATTTTGTTAACAGGAGAAAAAAGGCGTCTAAAGACGAAAAGAAGAGCTATGCATCTTCTTTTGCAGCTCTGCCCGTCGACGAAGCCTTGCAGAAGAATTCCAAGAAAGAGCTGAGCGGATATTTGAAGGGATAATGATAATAGTAATAGTAATAATAGTAATAATAATAATAATAAATAAATAAAATAAAGTCATAGAAAATGATAAAATTAAACTGCTCTGGGACTTCAGAATTCAAACAGACAAGCACCTGCAACATAACACCCCAGACTTAACAATTGTCGATAAGAAAGACAAAAAAGTCTGGATAGTGGACGTGGCAGTGCCTGGAGATAGCAGAATAGAAGAGAAAGAACTGGAGAAGATAACAAAATACAAAGACCTACAAATAGAAATAGAAAGACTGTGGCAAAAGCAAGCAAGGGTAGTACCAATAGTCATAGGCTCCTTGGTGCAATCCCAAAACAACTGGAGCACCACTTGAACACCATTGGCATTGACAAATTCGCTATTAGTCAATTGCAAAAGGCGGCCTTATTAGGAACTGCTTCCATCCTGCGACGATATCTGTAATACCATCAAACATCCACATCTGCCTATCCCAGGTCCTGGGTAAGGACTCGATAGGTAGACAAAATGCCAAATCCAGTCTGAACATCTGGCTGACTGTGCGATGATCGATAATAATAATAATAATATAAAAAGTTGGAAGGGACCTTGGAGGTCATCTAGTCCAACCCCCTGCTCAGGCAGGAAACCCTCTACCATTTCGGACAAATGGCTGTCTGGTCTCTTCTTAAAAACTTCCGGTGTTGGAGCATTTACTGCTTCTGGAGGCAGGTGGTTCCACTGGTTAATTGTCCTCACTGTCAGGAAGTTTGTCCTTAGTTCCAGGTTGCTTCTCTCCTTGATGAGTTTCCATCTGTTGCTTCTTCTCCTGCCTTCTTCAGGGGCTTTGGAGAATAGCTTGACTCCCTCTTCTTTGAGGATGACCTACCTGCATAAGCAACATAGGAATAAGTAGCCCCTGATTTACGTTTAGTGACCATTCGAAGTTACAAGGGCACTGAAAAAGTGACATGATTGTTTTTCACACTTACAACCATTGTGGCGTCCCCAGGGGCACATGATCAAACATGGATGCTTGGCAACTGAGTCATATTGATGATGGTCGCAGCGGCCCAGGTTCACGAGACCTTCTCACAAGCAAAGTCAGTGGGGAAGTCATGTTACTAACCTAATAACTTGCAGTGATTCACTTAACTGTGGCAAGAAAGTAAAATGGGGCAAAATGCACTTAACAATTGTCTCACTTAGCAACATAATTTTTGGGTCATAAGTTGCTCATAAGTTGAGGACTACCTGTAAATGGCCAGTGATGCGCTTAGCTTCAACACTTGCCTCCCCCCAACAACAGCAAACCTTCCTGCCTTCCTCCCTTCCTTCCCCCCCTCCTTCCTTCCTTCCTTCCTTCCTTCCTTCCTTCCTTCCTCCCTCCCTCCCTCCCTCCCTCCCTAACACAGTTGGACCTTGGAGGTCTTCTAGTCCAACCCCCTGCTCAAGCAGGAGACACTTTACGATTCTGGACAAATGATTGTCCAATCTCCTCTTTAAAAACTCCAGTGTTGGAGAATCCACAACTTCTGAAGGCAGGTAGTTCCACTGGTTAATTGTTCTCTCTGTCAGGAAATTTCTCCTTAATTCCAGGTTGCTTCTCTCCATGATGAGTTTCCATCCGTTGCTTCTTGTCCTGCCTTCAGGCTCTTTGGAGAAGAGGTGGATCCCCTTCTTCTTTGTGGCAGCCCCTAAAATATTGGGAGACAGCTATCATGGTCCCCCCTCGTCCTTATCTTTCTTAGACTACACAGACCCAATTCCTGCAACCGTTCTTCCTATGTTTCTGCCTCCAAACCCTTTATCTTCTTTGTTGCCCTTCTCTGCCCTCTTTCCAGAGTCTCAACATCTTTTTGTTTTTAAAACATTTATGTAGCCGCCCATCTTTCAGCCAACTCTGGGCGGCTCCCAAGCAAAGATTAAAAGACCTATAAAATGATGGTAAAAACTGTAAAACGCAACCAGTTAAAACATAAACCATTAAAACCGACAAATACCCGGTACCCATCACTGCTAAGGTGCCATCCTTTAATCTTCTCCCAGCACCTTGGTGGACACTCAGGTCTGTAAGGCCTTAATGGAAGAGGCCAAACGGTGGAGGCTGGACTTGGGGGGTGGGGGGGGAAGGGTCTATGGGGCAGGGGCTTCCATGGAAAAGGCACCTTCCCAGCTCCTGTCAGATGGTAATATTTAGGGGAGGGGACTAGGAGTGTGCCCACCCTCTCTGATCTGATAGGTCAGATACACGTCCTGGGGTGGGGAGCAGTCCTGCAGGTAGCCCAGCCCTATGTGATGTGGGGCTTTGAAGCCGGTCAGGCTGGGCTGGTCTTTATAGTCTAGATCAGGGATAGGCCACCTTGGCTCTTTTATGACTTGTGGACTTCAACTCCCAGAATTCCTGAGCCAGCCATGCTGAGGGGAAAGGGAGAGGTTTCCAAGCTGAGCCAGGCTGGCTCAGGAATTCTGGGAGTTGAAGTCCCCGAGTCATGAAGGGGCCATAGTTCCCCCATGCTGGCTCAGGAATTCTGGGAGTTGAAGTCCATGAGTCATAAAAGGGCCAAGCTTGCCTACCCCTGCTCTGGAATAATTCTTTGCTGGCTGAGGAATTCTGGGAATTGAAGTTCACAAGTCTTAAAGTTGCCAAGGTGAGAACCCCTGCTAGATAGCATTAGCCTGGGAACCCCAGCCCCTCCCTTCTGCCCACAGGTTGGCTGTCTTGGGGAAGGGGCTTTGTGCCCCTGGCTCTCCCTCACTCCTAAATAGCAGGGCCCTCCTGGAGGTGCACTGGGAGGCAGGAGAAGCTGGTATTTGGGGGGGGGAGGGCTGCGCATGGGTGACCCGCACCTGGGCAGAGCCCAAAAGGTGGCGAAGCCCCCGCCGGAGCAGGAAGGTGGGGCAGGGGAGTCCAAAAGACCAGCTCCGCAGACCCCTCCCTTGAGGAGGGGGGCTCACGGCTTCGGGCCCCGGCTGAAGCCTCGGGGTCGTGCCCTGCAGGTGAGGCTTCCCCGCGCGGGCCTGGCTAGTGGAGAGAGCCGCCCGTCCGGCAACGGGACTCGGGGCGGCGGACAAACCCGCAAAGCTGTCACCGCCCTTCGAAGGCCGAAACGCCCGGGAAGCTAGAGAGATGAAAGGCCGCGGCGGCGGGAGCGAAGGGCGGCGCCTCCCGGACCCTTGGAGGGTGGGGGTGGGGGGCTGCCGCCTTGCGCCCCGTCCAGGCGGTGGAAGGGGGGCCGCTCTCCCGCCTCCTTCCGGAGACCCCGGCCCAGACGTCACGAGCCCCTGCCTCGATTGCATGCATGCATTCCTTTCCTTGCTTTGAATGGGTGTAACACACACACATACACACACACACACCCTAAGGCCGGGGATGGGGAGGGCTTATAATCGGGACCCCCAAACACACACACACACACACACACACACACACACACACTAAGGCCGGGGATGGGGAGGACACACACACACACACACACACACCCTAAGGCCGGGGATGGGGAGGGCTTATAATCGGAACCCCCAAACACACACACACACACACACACACACACACATACACACACACCCTAAGGCCGGGGATGGGGAGGGCTTATAATCGGGACCCCCAAACACACACACACACACACACACACACTAAGGCCGGGGATGGGGAGGACACACACACACACACACACACACCCTAAGGCCGCGGATGGGGAGGGCTTATAATCGGGACCCCCAAACACACACACACACACACACACACACACACACACACACAC